CCTCGTATGTGTACACATACCTGGCAATAAAACTGATTCTGATTAAGCCTGGAAGAGGGCAAACACACACACACACACACACACACACACAGTTTCAAACAGGTAACTTTAGTAACTTAAATCTCAGCTACCATTTATTCAAAAAGACTAATACTACATGTACACTAACTTCTATAACATTACTAGGACATGTAGTGCTCAAAATGCAAACACTGATTACCAAATCAACAAAATCTAAACATCTGATTCTGAAACATTGTCAGATATGGTTTAACCAGAACCCAGAAGCAGACAGAGACGGGAGGCCTTTCACAGAGTTTATTGAGAGGCAGGCAAGACAAGGTGGGAGCGAGTGATTCAGCTGGGTGGCAGGCTCGACGATAGGCAGGGAAGGCAGGCAGTGTGTGCTCCTCCAGAAAAACAGGCAGGTATGGGCATAAGGGAAGGCGTCCTCTCCATACTAAGAACACCAAAGACAAAGATGAAATTAATCACAAGGCGTAACAGAGTACAATGGTCACAACAAGGCTGGGTGCCAGCTAGAGACCCACGCTATACAACATAACAATCCAGCAAAGACTGAGGAGAACTGCAGGGCTTATGAAGCAGCACAGAACGACATGATACGGATCAGGTGTGCTAATCAGTCTGCCAGACAGGTGAGTGAGCCAGCCCCAAGCTTCCCCACCAGTCACGCCTCCTGTCAAACTGCAAGGGTAGAGACTAGGTAGCCACAAGGAAGAGAGAGAGAGAAAGGCAGAGAGACAGAAAAACCAAAACACACCAGCCAGCCTCACACACTCAGAAACAGAAAGTAACAAAACACAGACAACCACACACAGACCCTCCCAGCATAGTCATAGTTGAGACCTCGTGACAAACGCTCCATGTAGAAAATGCAGCCTGAAGTTGACGGAACAAAACAGGGTCACATAGAGCTGTAAAGAAGGTAGTAGAATCACAAAAACAACAAATTAATTACAAGTCAATAACGTGGGGCAGGCTGCACACTCCGCTGCTGAAATGCTTCTTCCAGTGGACTTTGATGCCGAGCTATGGACGCATCTAAATCCTGGAGTTAGTAGATTCCTAGTGTTATTGTCCTTTAATTCAATTCAATTCAAAGCACTACTGATTATAATGTTCTACTTATATCTGTGGTATAGTTTTTTTTCTGCACACAATCACGGATCAGGATCAGTCACTATATCTACTAAGACTTAGCTATCCATTATGTACTCAATAAATATCCATTTAGCTAACATAATTACAGAAATCTCCAGGACCATGTTTCAGTTTTAAAGGTAGACTGATGAATTAAACCCATATGAAAAATAACCATTGAATTTCATAATTTAGTAGAAGAGAGACTAGCTAAGAGAGGACTACAGGATTTTTTTCTTATCCACCACAGAGGTTAGATATCAGCTGTGTGGCTTCAAAGTCTTGCCCAAGGATCCTTCAGCAGAGGGTGTGGTACTACTAGCAAAAATACATCAAAGTGTATTTAAAAACAAGATACTAAATACCCTAATTTTAAGTGTATTACAATAAACTACAAAATACAGCAGCCACACCATGAATCATGTATTTTGTATTTCAGAAATACTAAAAATCTTTTCCAAGGTACCATTAAATCATTTCGCAAACCTTGTATTGGCCTATGATCTATCCCTTCGCCAGTACCCTGACTCAGCTGATTAAATAGACAATGTTTGAGAGCAACAGCCTCTGCCTAATGAGTCATGCAATACATCTGACATGCAACCAGTTAACAAATCAAACATTCACATATCCCTGTGAACACCCAGATAAAGGTTAGTTTTAAAGTAACCAACAGTTAAATGTTGAACTGGGGTGGGCTGGGGTGGTGATGGTGCATAGATAAGATGCTTCCCTTTGGCGTGGGAGACCTGGGTTCAATTCCCACTGTGAGCCCGTCCACCATTGTGTCCCTGAGCAAGACACCTAATTGCTCCAGAGGTGTGCGACCTCTGACATGTATAGCAATTGTAAGTCACTTTGGATAAAAGCATCAGATAAATGTAATGTAAACTGACAGTTTGCTTAACTCTTAAACATTTTATTATTATTTTTCCATGCACAACCAATGAAAACTAAAAATAGCTAGAATTTAGCTAGCTAATGTCAACAGTGAGGGTTGCTACTCTGATCATATTGTTAGCTAGAACATAACGTAAATTGGTAAACAATTTTGCCTAGGCTATTAAAACAAACAACAAAACTTAACAGGAGCTGTCAAGAACTGTAGCAATTGATGCTAAAATAAATGGAAAGCTAACACACCTACAGGTTTCTCACCGTAACCTTCTTCAGGGCTGGATCAATTTTTCGGATCTTGGGGAAATTACTGAGGAGCCAACTATCGGATTTAAAATGCCTATTTTACATACATGTATCATAAATACTGCACATCCCTGGGTATGTTTAAGTGTTTCAACTGACCCAAGCTAAAGCCAGCTGTCCGGTTTGCCTCTGTGCGGTACTCAAGCTATCAGTGGCAGCTGCAGGATGACAACTTGCAGACCTGCTGCTGTGGTGTGGCCTCTTTTACAGCATCACACAGCCAGAGACACAAACTAAACTATGTTGAGTTTGCCTCTCTGCCTGTATTGTTTGTTTTTATGGCCGGTCTGATCTCCTGTCAATCACCCTGCTTGTCACTGTCTGTGTGCCCTGATTTGTATCACCTGTTTGTGCTCCCTGTGCAGGTGGAGGGATTTTTTAAATTTAATTTTAAAAGATAACATTATAGACAGAAATAGTTGTTGTGATCAACAACTGACGTGTGTGTTCTATCAGTACCAGGGGCCATCTGGTTAAAACATGGAATGACTTCAGTATAATTTGACTTCAAAGAGAGGTGCGCATTGTTTCAATCATCCCTACTGGCGGGACAGATGAAACACACGGATGGCACAGAAAAAACACAACGATATTCGTTTATATTGTTTATGTTATTCTTGTTTTCATTCAAAATGCTTGACAGATTCCTTCTTAATATGTCATCTTTTAATCCAAGCTTCTCCAGGCCTGACAAGGAGGCATGGAGAAGCTTGGACCATGACCTGGTGATGGTTCTAGAAAGAACGCTGCTGGTTGTGTGGCTGCTAAACTGAATCTCTTTGGCAACACCACCTACGAAGAAGATATGGAGAGATTTGGCGTAATGGTCCAGAGAAATAACACCCCAGGGAGATGGAAAGGAGAGAGACAAAAATTAGTAGATTAGTAAAGGAGAGACAACTCCCATGGAAGTCCATACCACATGTACCTTGGACATTGTTATCTTTCTATAGATATTGAGTGTCCCCTAGGGAACACTGAAAGACACCATGTTCCTTTGATGAGATAGTACTCCGATCCTGAGGCTAAGATATGTATGTGTCCCAGTGAGTTTCCTCTGCAGAAGACTTGAATAAAATTCACAGAAAGACAAGTGTTTGCCTGAGCTGTTTATTTAAACATGCTTTTCCCACCGCAACAGTAAGCATAATACAACGTCTAATACACTGGCAGTGATTGGGGAGGGATTAGTTTATATATTTTTATTTCTGCATTGTTACACCTTTTTTTCTTCTTCTTTTCAATTTCCATCTATTCAGGGTGTCTTACCTAGGTACATTGGTGCTAGCTGCTGTTTAGATATAACAATGTTCATTTCATATATCTGTACTGACCAGTCAGCTTTGCCCTTATAGTACAATGGAAAATCTTGAATAAAAAGATCTTAATTGAGAAAAGAGTCCAGTCTAGACCTGGTCTGTATAAAAAGTGGTCTGACATAACTTGTATTATGATTTGGTGCTAGGAGGATATAAATAAAATTGAATTGAATTGAAAACAAATGTGATAATTTGCTGGATATATACAAGGAAATTCTGTTTTTATTTCCTTGTGAGTATCAGCTGCATAGAGGAGTGTGAGCCTTTGCATACTGTTTGTCAATGTATTATTTAATGTGTATGTGTACCTGTATGAGACCACAGAGGAAGATAGGTTGTACAGCCATGGTCACATTGGCTGCTCCCACATCAATCTGACTCTCTTCAACACTGTCCACTTTCCCTGTCACAGACCCAATCAGGGAAAAAAAGAAAGGAAAAAGTACTTGTCACACACAAACAGACACGCAAACCTAGTGTAAAGTTTGAGAGTATTTGGTAATCACATGGATTATCTGTGTGTACTACATTATATTGAACTGATTCATTAGGAAAAGGAAAAGGAAAAGAGCTCAGATTATTGTAAGGCAACTGTAAGAGGTGAAAAGCCTTGAAAAAACAGCAAGGGCATATTAATAAAAAAATTACAGGAAAATCCTGGTGGATATGCATGAAAAAAAGATTTGTAGGGAGTTTCGGAGACTCAGGCACTCCTGAAACATTTTCTTTCTACAAAGGATTACACACTGCCAAATATCACCCATCTTTGTAGCTGCAGTTGCTACCTTCTGTGCGTGTATTCATCCAGTGGTACACCTTTTATGTATGGTTGCATTCTTAACTTACACCCTTCTAACCTGCAGTCATAGCTTTCATGATTCTGAAACAATAGTCAGTTGATAATTAACCTCTGCACATTTCAGTAAGTTTACAGCTCCTTTACTCCTCTCCTTCACCCTCGCATTCATTGTGTCTGAATGACTTTTATCACAACACCTTCTTATGTCTAGATTGGGACTTTAACCTGAACGCACACTTACCCATGGGGACAATCATTTAGGTCCCCACAGGTAGAGACTGCGTATTGAGGGTTAAGACATGGTTTTAGGGTTCAGGTAAGAACCGGGCAAAGGTTAGGGTTCGGGTAAAGGTTAAGGTTAGACATGTAGTTATGATGGTTAAGGGACTAGGGAATGCATTATGTCAATGAGATGTCACCATGGGCATAGAGAAACAAATTGCACAATGGATCATTTTTGAAAGTCATTCCACTTGACAAAGGTGAAATTAATTGAAATACTGGCATGGGGGAAACAAAGATTGCGTGGCACATGTAGTTACAAAGAAGTGAGAGAGAATGGAAAAAAACCCTTTTATTTCCACAGGTTTTTTTTATTGCCCTTTTAATCTCAATATCCACAATAATAAATCTTCATCAAATTTAAAAATAAATGAAAGTCCAACTCCAGGATTATACACAGCTGAATAAATAAAAAGGAAAGTCCAGTTTAGGTCATTAAAAGTAAAGAATGTCCTCTACAGAAATATTATACACAAAAGATTCAAGTACAAATGTCAAACAGTTTTGACTTCCAAGGGGGTAGAAGGTTACGGGTCATCTCTCCCGTAACCTTCTACCCCCTCTACTTGCAGAAACAGAGATAAACATGGGCGAAGTGAAATAAAAGAACTAGGCAAATAATGTTCAATATGTTCAAAAGTTCAAACCCAAAATGTAGTATTTAAAAAACATTTACACACTGATCTAATGAGATCCCCAAGTAGTTTAATTTGTTTACAATAAATATAGAAACAAAAGATTCAACAAAACAGATTCTATGGAATAGGAAAATACAAGAATTAACTGTCCACGCAGCACTGACTCTTCAGTAGTGTATCTGTCTCAGAAGCAGCATGAGGTTTCTGATGCGTTCGACACGGCAGCAAGGCGACTGGTGTAGCGGCAGCTCAAAGAAAGAGAAGGTGAAGCTCCGAGAGAAGCTCAGGTTGGTGACAGGACGCAGTGGTGGGAGACGGGGAGGACGAGGCACCCGACGCTGAGGTAACACCCTTCGCCTCTCTCGTAACCTTGAACCCCCTCTTCCTGCAGAAACAGAGATAGACATGGGCGAAGTGAAAGAAAAGAATATGGTTGTCACACTGCTCCAGAAAGCTAGTTAAGTGAACCTCGAGTTACTATTTGTTTTTGCCAGACTTCTGGCAAATCTTTTTTTTCAATGAAATCCCTTGTGAAAGAAAATCACTTTTTTATTGCCTATTTGGCAAAGGGCTGTTGCCTCACTCAGACATGAACAACAAGCCTATTTTCTCTGTCCTTTGGAACAGCCACTATTCTGCTATTTATGTGAAGTAATTGGGTCGGGTTCTCTGCATGCGTGCTCCCAAGCCTCTCGCGAACTACAGCGAGAACAACAACAACACCGCAGCTAATGAAATGCACTCCACTAACACCATCAATGACTGGCTCCCAACACAACACAGACTCCAACATAAACTCCACATATGGATAAAAAAACAAAGTTTTTTGTGCTGAAGACCGTCAGGCCAAATAAGAATCAAATCAATGTTGGGTAAAAAAGTCAACATCTGAAAGGCTTGAGTCACGGAGAGACCTCTGCTTTATTTTGAAACTGACAAAACCGACCCAGAGTTGGCTTTTATTCTATTGGACAGGTAAACTAAGATATTGTGAAGTTAGATATAGTTAGTTTGATGACTAACGCCGACCAGTTGCTAACGTTAACGCGATGTGACCCACATTACTATCCTGTGTACCACCGGTATTATGTCAAAGTGTTGATTTAGCCTGCAAGAAATGATGTGACAGTAAAAAGCAAATGTGGAGAAATTAGTTAACTGGCCTATAACTTAGTGACACAAAGCAGGGGCAGCCAGCTATCCTTAGCATGGATCTGCCACTGTTTGCTTCTTAATGTTCAATTTTGATTTATTTTTGTCTTAGCGATACTCAGGTACACAGCGTCTTCACCCGTTTCAGCCGTTGTAACTTACGTAACCAACATAATATACATAACGCTGCAGGACAACACCACAGTGGAAGACTCATAGTAATGTTACTACTGCGGTCTAACTGCTACAAAAGTGTGGCAACAATCTCATTAGTAGTATTTAGTCTAGCTCACTAACCGTAACGTTATCATATAACGAGCATGGATTACTTCAACCTCAGGCTGATAAAAATATTACTGTAACGTTTGTGGGACTGGGAGTTTACCTGAGTTTCCAGCATGTTATGTGGAGCTGTCTCCCGGTGAGTGGGATTTAGCACTTTCCGGAGTTCAAGCATGCATACTTAATGCGTACTGCTAGTACCGCTAGTAAACCAGTGCTTTTTCCTGAAATGTTTTCTCTGCAACAAATCAAGCTAAATTAACTAGTGCTAATGAACTAATGGGAAAGTGCAGTTAAAAGTTATTGTATTGCACAAGGTAATACTAGGTCTGTCAGTGAACATTTGAGCACTCATTTAACATTAATTATTAAAATGTTTTAACACTATCTACCTAAGATTACTTAGCTATAATTAACAGCTAGCTAGATATGATTGTTAGCTAGGTAATGGTTACCTTTATGTTAGAGTGCAGCATGTGTTATTCTGTAGGACAAGGTGACATTAGTTTTACTTCAGAGTAAAAACCTTTAGTTGTGTTACATGGTTAGACATGAACATGACTCGCCCTTGTTCCAGACATACCTACACTGTCCTGAGGGACTGCAACAGGGGAAGAAGATGGAACCTCAAAGTTAAAACTTGAAACTTCTTCGTCTTTGTTATGTCTCCCACGACAAGGGGTGGACGGTGTGGGCTGAGGAGCAGGAGGGGGGGGAGGTGGGGGTATTGAGGTAAAGGAGGATTCGGAGAGACCCAGGCCTCCCCAAGGCGCCATGGTGGTGTCTGAGAGGAGGATGGAAGAAGGCCCAGGATGAGGGTGAGAGGAGGAGGGTGATGATGTTTGCTGCTGGCTGCGTTTTCGGTGATTAGCCTGATGGGAGCGCTGGAGAGCTGAAGAAAAGGGAGTTGGTTTGACTAAGGTAAGAAGGGGGGGGGGGGGGGGGGGGGGTAGATAGACTGTAAACTGTAGTCAGCAAACATCTGTCCTGAACAAGTGTCCTTGAGCAAGACACAATGAACGTCTACAGGTTTACTTTGATGGCAATTTTAAAGCAGAACAAAGTACAGCACAGTAGGAGAAACAGAAAATGTATTGAATTTTTAAAAGTGAATGATGTATCTCCCTAAAAAAATGTGTTATAACATCAGTGCTCTATTCCAAACCCATTATAGTCCTTATAATCCCTATTTGTTGGATCTGAAAATGTTGTAGGCTACTTCAGTGACTCCCAATCTAAGTATCAGAAAATGCTTTGCACTTGCTTATGCATACAAAAAACGCTCATGCATACTTAATGCTCCTGCAGCATAATAGCTTCTGTAAATGGAGAGGTGAGTGGATCATGAGTGGATCACCTGCTGTTTTACTCCCAGATGAACCGATGATAGGCAGTCGCTCACGTGACATCACCAATCCAGGAGGCTGACAGCAGAAATAAGTGTTGCTATTTCACAATTAACATGTTCATACTTGTATCAAACATGTTTATAGTTTCAAGTTCATACACAGTGCAATACAAATATATGCTTTGATTTTGAATGACCGTTTTGGCATGGCATGGGGGGACAAACAAAACAATGTTTTGAGAGGAAAAGTATGCTGCTCCACCACCTATGTTGTTTATCCTTCTGTGTTGTCACAGCGACAGAGACGCTATGAGGCATATGAGGGAGGGAGGATATAATCTTTCAGAGCTTAAAAATGCATTGGAGTCGTAGTAAATAACGATAGAATTGTTGTTAATTCTGTACTGGTTATTGGTAGGGACATGTCCCTACTAAATTCTACACCCTTGACTAGGTTTTCACTTTTCCAGTTAAATATCTCAACATTTACTAGGTTGATTTGCACAATGGTAAACATGACCTGCTGACATTGCCACAGATTATGTTAGCATGCTGACGTTAGCATTTGGATACAGGCACTGCTTTGTCTATGAGTAAAGATGCTAGCATGCATGTAGGCTTTTAGCCAACTTTACCTTCACTTTAATATTAATAGAAATCCTTTTTCAAAAGTCCTCGTCACTAATCACATTACCCATGACCTAACTATCCACCAAAATTTTGCAGAACACTAATACATTGTTGTGATACCCTGAAAACATAGATGTAGGACTGAAAACATAACCACTTGGCAGATGTTGGAACTTGTGGATGTGTGTAAAACTGTAAGGAACCAGATTTTTAAGTAAGAAAGAAAGCTTTTTAAAGGGAATGAAACAGAATGTACACATATTTGAAGTGAAATTAAACCCAGGGTGTAGTTTTTAAAAACCTTGTGCCACATTCAGAATCTTCAACACATGCTATTTTGTGATGTGGTTAAAGCAAACAGCAAATAATTGAGCATGTGCAAGCTCAAGATGCACTTTTGAGTCTCAGCAGTTTTTCCTAAAGTTAAATGCATCATTTAGCTCTTCTGTGTGTGTGTGACAGTTTGAAAAGGGAAATGAGGAAAGGCCAGTGATCTTTCCTTGCACGAAATGTCCTGATAAAGAGAGAGGGATAAGAAAAATACTCTAAACTGGACCATAAAAAGCAAGCATTTCAGAGTTGCAGATGATGGTGAAGGTAAAAGACAGGAAATTAACACAGTGAATGGCACATCAGTAGAAGTAGTGATGGAAAGCTGTGAGAGAGTGTTTAAATACCTCTTTGATGGGTGTAAATTGTGACTCTGTACTTTGACAGCTAAACAGAAGTCACTTCCTCTCTCTCCACATGTTGTTTGAAGATTGATGATGACTACTTCGGATCAATTTTTAAAAAAAAAACAGTGTGTCTCTGTGTTTTCCGCCTTGTCTCTCCTGTAATTTCCTCACTCCTCTGTGCTTGTCTGTCTTTCAGTCTTTCTGTTCTGCGACCCAGTAAACACTAGCAGTGACGCTCAGTGCAGCGGGTGCCTTCTCCATTTTTGTCTCCTCCTGCCTCACCTTTACCTTGTCAGCACTGGTGCTTTTGCTCTTCCTCCTCTCTTTTCTCTCTTTTTTCCCCCCTTGTAAGTGATAGTGATAGTTACACAGGTACTTTGGCTCTTGCTTTCCCTCCCTCCTTCTCCTTTTCTTTCTCTCCCTGGGGGTAAAGGTGAGAAGGGGGCATCTTTCTCTCTTTTTGTGAGTGGCAGGGGTAATGAATGAATTTCCTCCCACTCCAGGTCCCTGTTTATTTTCCCATCTTTTCTCCTCACTGTTTATTTTAGGCGACATTAGCTTTCTATCCTCCTCTCTTCTCTTCCTCCTTTCTCTCCAAGGAGAGTGGCAGGTGGTGAGATGGGTGCTTGACAAAAGGCAATGTGAGACGAGGCTAAAATATTCATGGACACCTGCAGTCGGCCCCTTCATGGGCTCTGACCCCCATCTAGCCCTCCACACACAAGCACAGATACTAACAAGTGCAGACTAGCAGGCAGGTATACATATATCTAATTAACCTGATATGTTCAGTAACATCAGCATTTTAGACCAACACACGGATACAGGTGCACACACACACACACACACACACACACACAAACACTAACAATCTAATCTAAGAATGACATTTAATGTGAAGAGGGTGAACATGCTGGTAGGTGTCTCACACTTCATCTGACACAGCTAAATTTGCATATCAGGCAGCCACACATACAAACACACACATGCAGTATTAGCATTTCATACCACAAGAAATACTGCTTCAACAGTGCTGAATTAGCAGTTCAAGACATATATTGACAGTATAAGTAAAATATAATAATAAAAAATTTAAAAAGTCGATCGTGACATGCTTAAAATATGTTTCAGATATTTACATTTTTATTACATTTTGCGGCTCTTCATCTAATGGAGTTGTTATTCTGTCTGCTGGATTCACTTGGTCAGTTCTGCCGCAGAGAGTATGATATCATATCCCATCTTACTGGTGTGCAATATAACAAATATGGAACCTCCCTGTGTGTGTATGTGTATGTTCTGGCCTCTCCCACTTACATAACTATCTCATGTTTTCAATATGTTTGTGTGCCCTTTCTTGGTGTTTTCCCAATATTCCTGTTTTGGGGTCATTTACCAGTATTTTTCCCCAGGATCTAGTGACATTTATTATTTGTCTTGTTATTCGCACCTTTGCCCTTCTTGCAGTGTGTGCGAGGATAAAGTTATGTACAATCGCTTAAGCATTAAGTTTCAGTGTCTTTCTAATCTTTAAAACCAGATGTTTCCTGTTTTCAATGCCATGTCATCTGTCACTGCTCATTGCAGTGTTGCTCTTTAGTGAGACAAGAATATGTTTTTTTCATTGTCTTGTTCATGCTTGATATTTGGTTATACATCCTTTTCAGCATTTCCCATGTACCACACTATAGATTTTATTCACTATATTTTGAGGTTGTGTGATTGCTGCTCAACTTTTCTACATACAGTTTCATAAATGAGACCCCGGTCCAGGTTTAAGGAGTCAAAGTACAGGTTTAGCAAGGCTGTGCGAGAAGCTAAACAACTGTACTCATAGAAACTTCCACATCAATTCTCTATAAATGCTGGTCCAGACTCTCTGTCTTCCCATCCACCCTTAAGCACTGTGCCGATCAAGCTCTCCCAGCTGAGCGTGCTTGACTCCACCATCCTGTCTGACAGGGAGCAGGACGTAAAGCTGGGAAAATATTTCTCTGACTCCCGGACCATCAGCTCCGTCAAGGCTGCATTCATTCTCCTCTGCTCTTCTCCCTGTACACCAGCAGTTGCACCTCCAGAGGAAGGAGAGATGGTGAATTTTAGGAAGAGCTCAGCCCCACCCTCCCTCATCACCATGTGTGACTCCATAGTCGATGCTTCCCTCGACAGCTGAAGAAGTTCAGCCTGCCAGTGTCAATGATGGTACCCCACCATCATCACTGAGTCCATCCTCACCTTCTCCACCATCATGCTGCCACTGCGAAGGACAAGGGCAGACTGTAGCGAATCATCCACTCTGCAGAGAAGGTGATTGGCTGCAACCTTCCATCATTACATTACATTACATTACACTACATATACTTATTTGGCAGACGCTTTTATCTAAAGCGACTTACATTTGAGGAACAACATACAAGCCATCCCTCCATGACCTCTACGTCTCCAGGAATCCAGATTGTGGTTGAACCCTCCCATCCTGGTCACAAACTGTTTTAGACCCTCCCCTCCGGCAGGAGGCTGCGGGCCATCAGGACCAAAACCTCACGCAGCATGAACAATTTCTTCCTGTCTGCAGCTAGCCAATCAACAAGGCCCAGAACCCCCACTGACAGCTGACCCCTCATGTCCTATACAGGAATAGGTGTGTCAACCAGAAATAATAAATGATAGAGCATCATTTATTGAAATCATGGCAGTTGGTTCTTGTTTAGGATGCCTTGTTGTGACCAACTGCATTAGCTCCCCCTCTGGATTCTTTGGGCACCTTTAGTTCCACTGAGCTGCTGGCCCTGTCCAAGGTGTGGACTGCCTTAATTGTGGACATTAGTGTTATGTATTTCCGCCTTGTCCACATTCCCAGCACACAAATGGATTTGGGAGAACTCTTCTCTCTCCTTGGACCTCCTTGTCCTGGTCTCTACCACTGTTGGCGTCATCTTCCTAGTTACTGGTGGGGTCCTGGGTTACCGTTATAACTTTGTCCTTTGGGATAGTTATTGTTCTCCAATGTGCACATAGTTTGGTGGCGATGGGCTGCAATGTCGGCGTGACAGGTGGAGGGACATAATGCTGCTGTGTCGGCTGTTGGGGACTGGTACCACCATGGCTTGCATTTCCACTGCTTTCTCTTTTTGTTATTATTTTGTAGTTCTCCCAACTGTGTTTTGTAGAGTTGCTGCATTATGTTCTCAGTGTCCTTTTTAGCTTCCTCCTCTTTCTTCTTGTTTTGCTCTACATGGTGAACTGTGTGAGCTTGTAGCAAGAC